TTTGGATTAAATGTGCCAATGATGAGAATTTCTTAAAAGCTGCAGAATTCATTTTACAAGTGATGACGTTTATATTGTTCTATGCATGAAGTGGCCTTATTTATGAATATCTTACGAGGATAAAATGTTTTGTAATGACTTGTTAGAATCCATCAGTCTTTAGAGTTTTCAAAAGAAGTATTGAAGCGTGTAAGCCAGTTACTGATGACTTGTTTGATTTGTTACCAGGTTCAGGTGCAGGAGAAACTGATCTGTCAGTTGGAGTCATTGTTGGAATCACCATTGCAAGTGCAGCTTTCGTTACCCTGGTGATTGTTCTTTTGGTTTGGATCGTCAGGAAATGCGTTGAGCGAAAACAGCACAACATGCTGGATTATCAGTCACTTCACAAGTATAACTCCTTAGTAAGTTTTCTCGAGTCTCAGATTGTCCGACTGTTATTATCAAATGTCCGAAAGTCTACGTAATTTTTATAATTTAACTATGGTAGCCAAAAGCGTGGGATACATTTTCAACACTGCACTGTTGTTTGCATTTATAGGATATCAACAACGGAGATAATGTAATGATGCAGTTAAGGTCGAGCTCAAGTCTCCACCACAACAGTCTGTCGAGAGGGCGACTGTATGAACATCACGTCAGTACTCATGGGCTGGAAAATCCCTGGAGGGAAGAGGTACAATTCACAATCACTAGGTTGTAAAGCAGTTTTTCGCAAACGAATAAAGTTCTTTAGCCAGCGTTTAATGTAACTTTGTGCAACGTTTGCCGCAAACGTTTTCCAGGAACACGCAGTGTTACACGCAGTAAGAGCGTTAACAGTCGATACCTGTTTGATTTGTTAATGCAGTTAACTCCACCCTCACCACCTAGCTTCTTTTTTCTTTCGTTTCAGTTTTAAGCTAACCGTTTAACAGATTTTCTAGGGTTTCGCACCCTGTGATTTTAGTCCTAAAAGATCGTAAAAGTTGGTGAACGTTTTTCTCGAGCGAAATCTTGCATGGCCAAAATTTCATGCGACAGCTGTTGTTTCAGTGTAGTTAATGTTGATAGAGACAATTCTTGTTTCTGGGTTAGGAGACTGAAAAGGAATCCAGGCTGGACTCGTTTACTATGGTGAATTGCAAGCACTTCGAACCAAGCTCCGCGCGCTCTTACCACGGCTGGGACCCTGGCTACGAGAAGACAGTTCTCAAAGAAGCAGCAAAAGAAATGAATGAACTTGATGTAGTTATGAGAGAGGTATCCTTTCACTATTTATCTCCGCTCATCACCCCCCCCCCCTTTTCCAACGGTAGTAGATTTTAAAGCTTTCCTTCCTCAATAAACATCAAGTTCTAATCAGACCCAGTAAACTAACTTAGATCAGTGATGACGCTTACACTCGGTGGCTGTTTGACGCAATGCTTTCATCGATATCACTGGAAACAGTTGGTTGCTATCGTGGTTGAGAATTAAAGATCAATTTTTTATCATATTATTTTAACTTTATTTTACGCTTAAGAACTTGGACAACGAGGCACGTATTACTGTTGGTCTACGGGACGATAACCTCGTTCGTATGGCGAGGCAGTCTCACAGCCAGTCTTCTTTGGGTCCAGAAAACACGGCCAAGAAGACATCGAAGAAGAAAGAGGAACAAAACAGAGGTAAGATTAGCGAGATGCATTTCTTTCATTACAAACTTGAGTCATTCGTATTAAAAAATTAACATATGACTTCTTTACCCTGGTAATCAAAACTAAGCGTCAAATTTTACTTTGATTATACAAGTACATTTCGCGAAAACATATGTTTTGTAGAATCCACAGAGTGGGACTATTCTTACGCCAAGAATGCAATAGCCGACGGTGATAAGGGGCTGGAAGATACGAAGGTAAATAGTAAATGTATTCATTTCACAGGTAGCGATGGCCATAAAATATTGTCTGATAATTCGATAATGCTCAAAAAGTATGCTTTAGTAAATACGAACCAAACAGTAAACAGAACAATTTTTTTCCTCTTTACGGTATAAGGGTTTTAATCTTTCTTTTATTTTTGCCTGTTTTCGTTTCTTTAACGGCTGTGACTTTTTTCTTTTTCAGCTCTAACTTTCAAAGGGATAGAGTAACAGTTATAAATAAGGATATTAATGTTTTATGTTGTTCCCGGGAGCATGGCCAGCTTTTTGACTTGTTGTAGGCCTGTACCTTAGGAAAGTTCAAGTTTTAGTCCAAAATTCGCAAGAGGCACGTTTTAAAAGTGAAACCGGCAAACAAAAATTGTAGGCCCGGCCCAGTCCTACACGGCTATTGGGTGGCTTTGACCCCGGTTTTCTACTCAAGATAAAAATAATTCTTAAAAAATATCACAGTTGTGGTAAACCGTATAAGGCACGAACCATTTTAATGCTAATGTTAAATTTCTATCGTGAATTTCGAAAATAAATGTCAAAGTTCAGATTCCGCGTAGCCTTAAAAAGTCGTTAGGAAAACCTATTGACGGTGTTGTAAACGTTTGCTCATTAAAAAATGGACTTAAACGTAGCATATTATTAGCTTAAATTTAAACAGTGTGTTAACTATGTTCAACAGAAAAGGTGGAGGATTGAATTCCTTTAATAAAATTAAATGGTTTTTTCTAAACTATAACATTCAATAAATCTGTCGTTAATGAAGTAATAACGACAAAGGAAATAAAATGAACCCAGAAAGTAAAATCATGTACACTAAATAAACTTGCACATTAGTCAATCGCGTAAACCTGAATTAAACCAGATCGGTTTGCAAGGCTAAATGTTTTCCTTTTTAATTTTTGCTATTTATTTCTAATTGATTATATCAGTATAGTGAAATAAATCCATTAATGGAACTGTTGACTGATAAAATATTAAATAACTTTTATAATCACTTCATCAGTCTTATAAAATTAAAATTTTGAAATTAAAATCAAAGACTTTTCATGGCTTAACTTTTCTTTTTGTAAAAATGTGCATATAAGTAGTACTGATCTTCTAAGGCATCTTTTCGATGTACTCGTTTTGTTAAGAGGGCATTACAGTCATTGTCTTGTATATATTTAACCTTCTACTATCCTTAGTTAGGAAAACTTGGCGAATCCCTCTTTTGCAGCAGAATTCAACCATGAAACCCCCCTTGTTAGATTTCCTTATCTTCACATTTATTTTTCCCGGAACTTTGTTCAAGATAAACGTTGTGATGAGGTACGTATAGATCGTATTTTTGGTGATAGGCGAGGTAAAAAAAAATGTATAAGCAAATAAACTTTCACCAGATGCAGAGGATATTTTACATCGGAAATTGCTTAGAAAAAACGCTATATGACACGACACCCCACCCCACCCCNTTCATTTCATCATCCGCAATGTTGATTTGTCATAAGAAGACTTCATTAACCGTGATATGTCTCATGTTTTCGAGAGAGTGTGTCACTTTCGTCTACAGACTTAACCTGTTTTATAGAGGAGAAGTTTTCTAAGTGGTTGTTCTATCTTTAATTTTTTCCTTGGATTACCTCTTGCAGTCACGTTTACATATACAAAAGGCGCAACTGATGGCAGAGGAAATGCTCCACCGGTTAGTAAATGGTGACGTTAATAAAGAATTTCACGAACTGTCGGCTGAAAAGGCGGAAGGAACTTATCTACGAGCAACGTAAGTAGTTCCAGTCCTTATGCGCCTAAAGCTTTGAGTCCTAAACCTGCTTGATCCAAACTTTGTGTGAAAATCAGTGAAGACTTTGCATCGCAAAGACGTCACTAGCGCGGCGTTTGGTTTTCATTTTAGGGAAAGAATATAGGCCAAACAAAGATCTACTTCTCGTTTTTAAGTAAACCTCAACATTAGCTATTTAGTGCTTTAAAGCTATGGTGAAGCTATTGTGAAGATGCTTCTTAATTACTAAACTTTTAATGTATTTCTAGGCGTTAAAAAATAGACGATGATGTACGGTTCGTTACTCTTGTTTTTTTTTTTACAGCGATCCAGTTAATCTGCCCAAGAACCGCTATAAGAACATCCTTCCGTTCGATCACTCCAGCGTGACTCTACAGCAGGTAAACGAAGGCGAAGGAGAGTCAGATTACATCAACGCAAATTTCCTAGACGGAAACAAGCAGAGGAATTCTTACATCGCAGCTCAGGTAATTTTGGTTCAGATACTGTTTGTAATCAGCCAAGTTTCCACCTCATACCATGCAGAGACGTATAATAGCTAATTGGAATCTCACTGATCGATCTTCAATCTCTGGTGCTATTACAGGGCCCACTGGATAATACCGTTGCTGAATTTTGGCAGATGGTTTGGGAGCAGAACGTTCACGTGATCGTCATGTTAACAAGGCTGCAAGAAGGGAAGAAAGTTAAATGCGTTAAGTAAGAGTCACCAGATGTCCCTTATTTGATTTTGCTTATGCTAAGTTAGAATTAAATGTTTACTGTTTTGTTTGAAGATATTGGCCTGACACTGACGAAGAAGTTACCTTTAAAGACTTTGTGATAACTTGCACTTACAAAAGGTAAGACCTAAAGCCTTTTTTGAACAGTTTCTTATTAAATTCACAATTTTATCTAGCGGATTATTAATAAGCATTTCATTTCGTTTACAGAAAGCTCGACAGTCGTGTAGCTCGTCGGTTCCTCCTTGAAAATTCTGGTAGCGGTGAGTGTCGAGAGCTCTTATACTTTCAGTTTACTGCTTGGCCTGACTTTGGTATCCCATCATCCCCAGCGGATTTCCTTGAGTTGTACTATGAAGTGATGAAAGAGTACAGATCACTTCAGGTGCCGCGGACCCCAATGTTAGTTCATTGCAGTGCGGGTGTAGGACGGTCTGGGGCTTTTTGCACCATAAACAATTGTCTGCAGGCGTTCAGATCCACTGGCAGCATAGATGTGGCGGAAACTGTCCGGTCTTTGAGAAAACAGCGCGCTGGAATGGTGCAAACTTTGGAGCAATACGCCTTTTGTTACAAAAGTATTATTCTTGCCCTCCTGTATCAAATAAAGTTAAAGAAATTGAAAGGGATTTCTCTGTTGAGCTTTTCTGCAGCATCGTCAAGTGGTGTTTGGACTTTGGCTGAAAGATCACCAAGCCCCAAGGGAACAACTGATGAAAGCCTCAGTCCAGAAAATCCTATAAGCCCTAGGTCCGAAAGAACGAAGGCATCCTCACAAAGTGCGCCGCCTTATTCACATAGTCAGCAATTGTTTCCTCCATTGGAATGTTCAGAATGCAGCGGAGACAGTCTTCCTGCTGTGATTGTTCATTCCACTCCAAAGAGGCTTCTCGAAAAGCAAAACTCTTTCCCTTCGAATGGGAGCAAGAGCGACAGTACCAATTCAAGGGAAGCTTGTATGGGCGAAAAACAGAATTTAGAGATACCCGTAGGAGATTTGGGTGGACAGAAGATGACGGGAAACATTCGAAAGCGTCCTAATCTTGGGGAGCCGCCGCCGCCGCCACCCCCACCCCCTCCGTCACGTGCTTTACCGCTCCCACTACCACACGAAAATCACCTCCGTGATGACGACTCAGTCCCTGAACTTCCTGAAGTTGACTACTCAGATTATGAGTTTTCCGAGGACGATGATGACTCTTTCCCTCCTCCCCCTGAGGCATTTTCTGTGCCTGCTGAAGGAGAACAGTTGAACCAATTTGATTCCACGGCCTGAAAAACAACTTAGATAGAATGACTATTATAAACGACCTATTTAAAACCTTTTGAGGAAGCAAATATTACTTTTAAGGCGCTGTCATCATTACATCGAAACTTTTCGTTGAGTGGAATAGGTCCGCTAAAACTAATAATGCAATTAGATAATCGATGAATGACTGTGTTCTGTAGAGGAAGAAGTAACGCTGACGCGATGACGATTGTGTGAATTTTTATGTCAGCAAAAGTAAAATTTAAAAAAAACATGAAAATATTGAAGCAAATGTAAGTTATAAGTTTCTTGTAAGTGTTTTTATTTTAAGGCTTACTTGATGTGTAGAATTTAAGAATTTTATAATTCACATTTTAGGACAAAAAAAAAGAACAGACATTACAGTTATTTATATTTTGTCTAGTATATCTTCAAGTGTAAATAGGAACAGTGTATTTTAGATAATATTTTGGAAAAACATAAATTATTTGTACTGTTGTTTTTCCAAAATAAATTATGTTCTTAAAATTTACAGGTGGATTCATCATGGCTTTTTTGTCGCGGAATGTAACCGAAAATTTACAACGTCAACCAAACTACGTATGATGCACGATCATC